TGGCTTGCCAGGAAGCTATGCTCAGTAGGCACGATGATTTACTCTGTGCACTCATTGATAGCAATAACGCTCTGGTAAGTCAAGTGTCACAGTTAACTTGTAAGATTTCTGCTTTGTCAACATGTATTACTATCCTTTCAATTTTTCCACCAGTAGTAGCTTCCTCACCTAGTGCTAACGCTGCTGATGCTATTGCTGTTTCTCAGCCAGCCTTTCAAGAACCGTTCGTTCCGGTTCCTGAACGTTACGCTGGAGATTTAGGTTCATGTCAAACATTCTTAACTGAGGTCTCATTACTTTTTGACTTGCAACCTTCCTCATTTGACTCTGAAAGAGCTAAGATGGCTTAACTAGTGAGCTTGCTTAGGTGGCCAGCAAGAGGACTGCTGTGTGGGAGAAGCAACCTGGCTTGTGTGCATCATATGCTGACTTTGTAAATGAAATGAAGAAAGCTTTTGACCATCCTGTTCGTGGCAGAGGAGCAGGGAATCACCTCATCACGCTGAAACAAGAGACCAGGAATGTGGCAGAGTTTTCCATGGAGTTTCGCAACCTTGCCACGGAGAGTGGATGGACTGACACCGTGTTACAAGGGATATTCTACAAGGGCTTGAACGAGGTGATTAAGGATGAGCTTGCCACCCGAGATGAAGCCAATAACCTGGACGCTCTCATTTCCTTGGCTTATCCATGTGGACAATAGACTCCGCGAATAACGGAGAGAGCAAGGCCAACGGGCAGCTGCAATTCCTCCCTGTCCACTCACCTGTCCTTCCGGTTCCTGTCAGTCCAGTCATCGCTCAACCCATGGACCCAGGGCCCAAACCAATACAGATTGGATCCCACAGAAACGTGAACAGAGGAGAGCTGCCAACTGCTGTTTGTACTGTGGGAAAGCTGGCCACTACATTGCTAACTGCCCTACTAGACCAGTAAAAGGACCGGCTCACCTGTAGCCGGAGGGATATGGATGAGTCGAACCTCAGTTTTCTCCTCGCAGCATCTCCAGATTGCTGCATCCCTCTGTTGTCAGAACCAGTCATTCTCCATCCCAGCCTTGATCGATTCCGGAGCAGAGGATAGTTTTGTGGACAGCCAGTTGGTGGAGCAGTTGCAGATTCTTAAGGTTCCATCGAAACCTGAGCCTTAAATGGTCTCTCTCTGGCCCAAGTATGCTTCAAGACAGTCCCTGTTAAACTCATTCTGGCTGGCAACCATACTGAGACTATGTGTTTTCACGTCATTGATCATTCTAGCCCTTTGTTATTTCTTGGTTAACCCTGGCTAAAGTCTCATAACCCTCAGACTGACTGGGAGAAGGGTGAGGTCTGATCATGGAGCCCCTGATGCCACTCCAGTTAAGAATTATGATGTGTCTAACGTTCCCCCTGTCTATCATGATTTGGATATCGGACGATGGTCACAAACTGATTTGGGGTCTGACAGCATCTCAACAGTTTTAAAAAAAAAATGTTTATCTGCAGTTTGTTGGTGTTACACCAGTAAACAAATTTATCCACTGTAGTTTTATGACTGCCTGGAGTATGAGTGAGCAAACTGAGAATAACAGTGAAGCTGATGACAAACTGTTTTAGCTGAGTGCTGACACAGTCACAGCTAACCGGTCTGAGCTGGTAGGCCCGTCAGCTAAGTACCAGGCAACCTGGCTGGATAGTATTATCCACACCAATGCCAGCGTTAGCAGTACTGTCTTCCTCCAGCTCAATCCCCATTCATGCTGTGCACAGTTCCAAGCCAGTGTAAGCAGCACCAGCATACAGTTCAATGCACGTGTTAGCATCATTAGCAGCAATACTTCACCCAGTTCCTCCCTACATACATGCCACATACAGTCCTTCACACATGCTGCACACAGCAGCACAACCCCCTGCGGCAGGTAAATTGCACATTGAGTCCACAACTGGTGGTAGACGAACAAACAATGAACTTGTACAAAGGAACAAGCGAACAAAACAACCAAAATAAAGTGCAGCAAGAGCCTCCATCCATGTTGCCCACAGAGCAGCGCCATTCTACCTGCTTTCGTCACACATGATTGATCTTCTCCCAGATTCCACCATGCCCCGAACTCGACTGTACAATATATCCCGACCTGAACACACAGTTATGGAGAATTACATCAGGATTCATTGGAGGTCAGGATCATTGAGCCCTCCTCCGCTCCTGTCTGCACCAGTTTCTTCTTAATTGACAAGAGGGATGGAACTCTTTGGCTCTGCATCGATTTTCGGTATGAATAATATTAGTGAAGAATACTTATCCTTTGCCGTTGATTAACTCTACCTTCACCTTGCTACATGGAGTCACTGTTTTTACCAAGCTAGACCTCAGAAATGCATACCACCTGATCCAAATCTGCAAAGGTGACGAATGGAAGACCACCTTTAACACCCCCCTGGGCCACTTTGAATACCTGGTAATGTTCTTCAGTCTTACCAATGCCCCAGCTGTTTTCCAGTGCTTAATCAGCAACGTTCTCCATGACTTGATCAACAGGTTTGTATTCATCTACCTCGATGACATCCTTTTCTACTCCCCCACCCAGGAAGAAGACCATCAACATGTCTGCCAAGTCCTCAGCCGGCTTCTGAAGAACCGTCTGTTTGTCAAGGCTGAGAAATGTGAGTTCCATGCCACCACCATGTCTTTCTTTGGGTATATCATCTCCCAAGGAGAAATAAGTATGGACCCACAGAAGCTTGTTGCCCTTAAGGAGTGGTCTATCCCGGAGAATCACAAGCAGCTACAATGGTTCTTGTGGTTTGCTGACTTCTACAGAAGGTTCATATGGGACTACAGTAAGGTAACAGCCCCCCTTACAGCCTTGACCTCTGCCTTACATCCCTTCACCTCGACTTCTGAAGCAGCCAAAGCTTTCCAGTCACTGAAAGACTGGTTCATGTTGGCTCCAATCCTGATACAGCCAGATCCTAAGTTGCAGTTTGTGGTGGAGGTGGACGCCTCCGACACTGGGGTAGGGGCTGTCCTGTCACAACGTTTACCTGCTGATAACAAACTGCATCCCTGTGCGTTCTTTTCCCATCGTCTCTCTCCTGCAGAACGCAACTATGATGTGGGCAACCGGGAGCTACTGGCTGTTAAGACGGCATTGGAGGAATGGCGTCACTGGTTGGAGGAGGCTGAGCAACCATTTGTCGTCTGGACAGATCATAAGAACCTGGAGTCAAACAACTGGTGGACATAAGGCGAAGAGGACAAGGGTTGCAGTTTTTGGTTGACTGGGAGGGTTATGGGCTGGAGAAAATAATTCGGGTTCCTTGCAACCGAATTCTGGATTTAGATCTCAGAATTTTTTTATTACTTTCTTCCAAGTCAGAAGTTTACATATATTTCCTTAGTATTTGGTAGCATTGCCTTTAAACTATATGACTTGGGTTAAACGTTTTGGGTTTCCTTCCACAAGCTTTCTCAATAGTTTGCTGGAATTTTGGCCGATTCCTCCTGACAGAACTGATGGAACTGAGTCAGTTTGTTGGCCACCTTGCTCCACACGCCTTTTCAGCTCTGCACACAAATTTTATATAAGATTAAGATCAGTTGTTTGTGATGGGCACTCCAAAACATTGACTTTGTTGTCCTGAAGCTTCTTTGTAAACGAATTTTGCTGTATGTTTAGGGTCATTGTCCATTTTGAAGACCCGTCTGCGCCCAAGCTTTAACTTCCTGGCTAATGTCAAGCAAAACACCCCCACAACATGATGCTACCACCCCCGTACTTCACAATTGGGATGGGGTTCTCAGGCTTGCAAGCTTCCCCCCTTTTCCTCCAAATCTAACAATGGTCATGAAAGCCAAACAGTTCAGTTTTAGTTTCATCAACCTCAGGACATGTCTCCACAAATTAAGGTCTTTGTCCCTGTGTGCATTTGCAAACTGTAATCTGCCTTTTTTATGTTTCTTTTGGAGTAATGTCTTCTTCCTCTCTGAGTAGCCTTTCAGCCCATGTCAGTACAGGACTTGTTTCACTGTGGATAATGACAATCTCTTATCAGCTTCAGCCAGCATCTTCACAAGGTCCGTTGCTTTTGTTCTGGGGTTGATACACACATTTGTCACCAAAACACATCATCTCTGGGACACAGAACCCGTCTCCTTCCTGAGTGCTATGATGGCTGGACATTCCCATGGTGTTTGTACTTACGTATAATTGAACAGATGAACATGGAACCTTCAGGCATCTGGAAATTATACCCAAAGATGAACCAGACTTGTGCAGGTCCACAATTCTCTTCTTGATACCTTGGCTGATTTCTTTAGATTATCCCATGTTGTCAGAAAAGGAAGCAGTGTGTTTGAGGTGTGCCTTAAAATACATCCACAGGTTTGCCTCCAATTTACTCAAATGTTGTCAATTATCCTATCAAAAGCTTCCAAAGCGCGCCGCTATAGCTCACCTGGTTGAGCTGGCGTCTCATGTACAGGGCTACAGTCCCGATGTGGAGGTCATGAGTTCGAATCCCGCTCATGGCCCTTTCTCACATGTCTCTCCCCATTCTTCTCCCCTACTTTCCTGTCTCTCTCTCACTGCACAATCAATAAAGGCACAAACGCCAAAAAAAAACTTAAAAAAAAAAAGCTTCCAAAGCATCATCTGGGCTTTCCCAAATAGTCTAAAAGCGTAGTAATATCAGTGTATGTAAACTTCTGACTTTGAAGAAAGTAATAAAAGAAAACAAAAAAAATGTCTCTCTCTCTCATTATTCTGGCATTTAGCAAGTAGAAATAATCTTGGTAATCCTAACTGGCTTAAAACAGGAAAAGTTACCTCTGATTTAATGTCAGACAGTGAAAAATAAAAGGCTATGTGTCTTTTTATACAGTGTATGTAAACCTATAGCATTCCATCGAATAGACCAGTGAACATATAAACATTGTTATATCAGACCATGGCACAAGCATGACTTAAATCACGTCATCAGATGAATTGCTAATCTGTAAAGAATTAAAAAGTCACCAACCTAAGGCCACTCTGGCAGCCGAGGCATCATAGTTTATCCAGAAGGAGACCCAGGAAAGGATGGTGATCAGGGTGGAAGGCATATAGGTTTGCAGGATGAAATAACCAATGTTCCTCTTCAGCTTGAAGCTCAGGGAGAGACGTGGATAAGAGCCTATGAAAGACAAAGTACCAAGTGCTTGAAGTGTGCTAGACATGACAAACAAACAAACAAACAAACAAACAAAGCATGGGAAGTCATCTTTATATTAATGCTAAGTTACTGCTTGATCTGATGGGTTTGGACTGTGTAAAGACGTCAACCGCTAGGTTCGAATAACGAGATAAAGGCAGTATATCTGAGCAACACAACATTTTAATCTCTTATTGGACAAAAATGTCAATGGGTGTAATATTAATATTTGCACCAATTTAAATAAATACCTTCCTATAGGTTTTTTGCAAAAATTGCCACTGACATCAGCCGACTGAAATATGTGACCATGTCTTCACGCAAATTTCCTTCAGTTGCAAGATATTTGAAGTTTTTCTTTCATTTACTCCATTTTGTTGAACATGTTCTCAGCAGTGAAGATAACCACACTAGACCAGCTGAGATCGTGATGTCATCAAGTATGCTGTTGCAACTGCAGATTGACCATGATACATTGCCCCTTCCTAAGGAATTTTTACTTCTCAGACGTAATTGCTAAGTCTGTACTACCTGGTAGACTAGTCTGTATGTGGCATACTTCGTAGTGAGAAGCGGCACATGTGTACTTTCCATATACCTGTTCTGTTAGCTGACTGTTTTAATTTGAACTTTGCCTTTGCTTTATGTGTCACTTGTGTTTGTACTTCTTCCCTTTGGCTGTTTTTGATCTGCATAGATCCATCAAAGAGGCCAAGAGGCAGTACCGACTAAAGCTGGAGGGACACTACACCAACGGAGACTCCCGGCACATGTGGCAAGGCCTGCAGCACATCACTGACTACCAACAAAGGAGCAGGGCAGTCACAACCAGCCGTGATACACTACCAGATGAGCTGAATGAGGTCTACGTTTGCTTCAAGGCTGTGTCCACTCCAAATTTGGAATGGAGGTCCGATGCCTTGCGAAACTTTCGTAAAACAGCTAAACCAGCTGTTGTTGAACTAAAATGAAGACAGATTCAGCAACTGCATAGCCTATTTCTTGTCTCAAATGTTTTCAGATATACTGTTTGCTGAACAGTTTACATAATAAAACCCAAAGTTTACAACTGAGCTGCCATGTTGGTTCAGTGCCTCTAAGGTAAAACAGCTTTCATGTAACCACCCAGGGGCCCACTAGTACACATTTATTAAGCAGGCAATATGTTGAAGCGTCACATTAACGTGTGTGTAAAATCACCTTTTTTATCACATCGCATCACAAGCCTCTGTACCTTCCTACTTCAAGTCCACCACCAAAGTGGCCCTCCCAAAGAAAGGCACTGTGACTTGACTATCAGCTGGATGCACTTACTCCAATTGCGCTGAAATGTTTCGAAAAATAGTAAAGACCCACATCCAGAGGACTATCCCAGACACCTTAGACCCTCTGCAGTTTGCGTATCGCCAGAATCGGTCCACTGACGATGCAGTCTGTACTGCCATCCACATGGCACTGGTGCACTTTGAGGGCAAGGACACATATGTCAGAATGCTGTATCTTGAGTACAACTCAGCGTTCAACACAGTCATTCCACACAAACTCTGCAACAAGCTCTGAACCCTCAGACACCTGACACCCACACTGACACCCACCCTCGGCAACTGGGTGCAGACCCTTTTTACTGACAGACTCCAGTCAGTCAGATTCGGCAGCCACACCTGGAGCATGAGAACTATGAGCACAGGAACTCCCCAGGGCTGTGTGCTGAGCCCCCTGCTGTAAATCTTCTTTATGTGTGGCCTCTTGGAGCAACACCAGTAACACACACAACACAACAGCAACCACATCAGCAAATTTGCTGACGACACAACAGTGATGGGAATAATCACTGTGAGGAATGAGACGGCGTACAGGGAGGTGGCAGGTCTGGTGACCTGGTGTCAAGACAACAATCTTTCCCTTAATGCAGAGAAGATCACGTAAATAATTGCTGATCAAAGGAAGAGGGCGGAGCCGCACTTTTTCACTGCACATACAGTGCAGTGAAAAAGTATTTGGCCCCTTCTCAAATTGTTTTTTTTTTTTTGCATATTTCCCCCTTTAATATTTAAGATCATCAAACAAATGTAAATATCAGACAAAGATAAGTCAAGTAAACATAACATGCAGTTTTTAAATGATGATTTTATTTATTAGGCAAAAAAAATAAAAAATATTCAAAGCTACCTGTCCCTGTGTGAAAAAGTAATTACCCCCTAAACATGATAACTGGTTGGGCTACCCTCAGCAGCAACAACTGAAATCAAACATTTTCTAGAACTGGCAATGAATCTTTGGCATTTCTGTGGATATATTTTTGCCCACTCTTCTTTGCAGAATTGTTTCAATTTGGCAACACTGGAGGGTTGTCGAGCATGAACGGCCTTTTTCAGGTCATGCCACAGCATTTCAATTGGATTCAAGTCCAGACTTTGACTAGGCCACTCCAAAACCTTCATTTTGTTTTTTATTAAGCCATTCAGAAGTGGACTTGCTGGTGTGTTTTGGATCATTGTCCTGCTGCAGAACCCAAGTGCGCTTTAGCTTGAGGTCCCGAATTGATGGCCGAACATTTTCCTTCAGGATTTTCTGGTAAAGAGCAGAATTCATGGTTCCAGCAATCACAGCAAGTCGTCCAGTTCCTGAAGCAGCAAAGCAGCCCCAGACCGTCACACTACCACCATCATGTTTGACTGTTGCTATGATGTTGTTTTTCTGAAATGCTGCAACTTTTACACCAGATGTAGCGAGACACACACCTTCCAAAAAGTTCAACTTTGGTCTCGTCAGTCCATAGAATATTCTCCCAAAAGTCTTGGGGATCTTCAGATGTATCCTGTATGCAAATGCCAGGGTATGCATATACACTGTCACTGCCCTGCCTCCACTGGGCAAAGCTGACCATAACCTCCTCTTGTGTTCCCCAAAGTATGTCCCTCTTGTTCAATGCCAGCCTTTTTGCACAAGGACAGTGAGGAGGTGGACTCAGGACGCGAAGGACGTACTGCAGGACTGCTTTGAGTCTACAGACTGGTATGTGCTTTGTGAACCACATGGGGAGGACATCAACACCATGACAGACTGCATCACAGAATACATTAAATTCTGTGAACACAACACCTTGCCGGCCTGGACGGTACGCTGCTTCCCGAACAACAAGCCCTGGATTACCAGTGACCTGAAAGTACTTCTTAACAAGGAGAAGAAAGCTTTCAGAGCTAGGGACAGAGAGGAGTTGAAGAGGGTGCAGCGTGAACTCAAGGTGAAGCTGAGGGAGTGCAGGGACTACTACAGGAAACAGCTAGATGCCAAGCTCCAGCAGAATAGCTCAAAGAAGATGTGGGCTGGTATAAAGGAAATCACCAGGTTCAAGGTGAAGGACGGAGTACCAACTAGCACTGTGGAGAGGGCAAATGAGCTGTTTCTTTAACAGGTTTAGTTCACAGCCTGCTGCCTCCCCCTCCTCACACACTGGTCTCCATTCACCCTCACTACCCTTAACACTTCCCCCCTCCACCCCTCACACCCCCCCTGCTGAGCTCCCCCCCATGCAACCCCCCCATCACAAACGACCCTCCCCCGTCTGGCTGTGACTGCTGACCAGGTGAGAGACAGCTTGAGAGACTCCATCTTGGCAAGGCTGCGGGCCCTGATGGCATCAACCCCAGGATCCTCAGGATCTGTGCCAGCCAGCTGTCTCCAATCCTGTGTCACCTCTTCAACCTGAGCCTGGACCAGGAGACGGTACCAACGGCTTGGAAGACCTCCTGTCTGGTCCTGGTTTCTAAAAAGTCATCTCCATCACACCCAGTGGTGATTCTTGGTTTTATTTTTAGGAGGGGGCCAATGCTATATTTTTGGGGGGCATCCAATTACTGCGTTATTGATAGATGTAGTCTATAGCAATTTCTCGAGGTGTTCTTCACTTGTACTCACATTGTATGACTAAATATAGACCTAACCTAATTGAATAGATCTAACAAAATAAGCATGATCTGGAAAAGGTTTCTGGTCAGAACATACTTGTACAATATGGAACGTACAACAGTTGCTTCTTTCAAAAGCAACTCATGACATTCAAACTGATTCACAGTGTGCAGACTAATGTTAAAATAACAGCCAGATGGCTCACGGTAAATTAAAATGAAACATACATGTAAATACACACATAAACACAATGCTCTCCTCTTTTGTATTAACAAGGTTGTTCTTAATTTGCTCTGAGGAATGTCTGTCTGTCCTGCTCTGCGTTTCACCTGGTGCTGATGATGGGCTACAGCTGCTGGACTGGTCCTGCTTTTGATGCCTGTCCTCAGAACTGTCCCCCTGAACCTGTCTGGGTTCACTGGTCTGACACTCACATGGCTTCTTCTTAACTCTATTCAGGACTTTTGGGGTCTTTTGGACCCCAGGTCAGTCGATTTAGGTGACAGGTATTGTTTTTTAATTTTTAAAGATTTTATTTTTAAATATAAAAAGGGAACATTTGTCATGTATTTGGAGCCAAAAATATGTCAACTTATCAGAAAATTTATTTAACATAGTATAAAAGTCTACAGTAAATACCAACAATTATTTTGCACATACTCTTTCTTTGGGTCCAATGGACCCACAAAGACCTTCTACGAATGTCAACATGAAAGTCCTGAATAGGGTTAAGATAACTAACCATGCTGGCTGCGTCTCTTTCTGATATTTCTGGCAGCCCTGGCTGCTACTGTAACAGAAACTAAATGACACCATTCAGTTGTAACTCAGACTTGGGATTGGGAATGCCCTGGCTGCTCCCAAAACATCTCTGAGCAAAGTGTCTTCATTTAACGTTAGCAGATTTTCCTTGTTTCAAAAAGAAGAAGAAGAAAAGAAAAAAAAAAACACACCGTAGCAAGATTTCATGTCACATAATCATGAATGCAGGAACCCCTTGATGGCTATTTACCATCTAGTTGGCACATTTCATCAGCTTCTCTACCTAAAAACAACAACTTTTTGTCATCAAA